CTTACGGCCACCACTCTAGCCATTGACACAATTTTATTTATTTTTTTTGCTCACCAACCCTAGAGTGGAGTAAAGTAGCGTTTCAAATTGCCACACTTCGGTTGCCTGCTGGCAATTTAGTTTGTTAACATTTGCCATTATGTTGGGTCAGCTATGTTGCATTTGTATTGGTAGTGTTGGAGTGCGATATTCATACATGCGTACATACATATATCAATATGTACATACATACATACATACAAGTATATGAATGTGTGCGTGCTTTTGTGGTAGACCAAAACTGAAATTCTGAAGCCGCTTTGATGATTTTGTTTTTATTTTTATTTGATAAGTGTGCCACTCACACACATATATACACACTGAGGCGTAGTAAAATGATCCCTAAGCTAAATGCATTTATATCCTTTTCCTCCTATTTTTTCTCGTCCATATGTGTAACCTATATGCTTTTACCCAAGCGCCTAGCGGCACTTCGTTCAAACATATGTACATATGTATGAAAAGTAGTCGTTTTGGTGCCGTTATCTACGAGTACATACATATGTATGTACTTATGCACTAGTAAATTTGGCTGGTAATAGCTTTTGTAGCAAGTTGCCGGAAGGATTTGGGACATTGATGGTAACCTTTTGGTATCTTTTATGTTCATGCAAATTTAATTTATTTTGATAAAATTCGCTTTTAATATCAATTCGTTTTATCTTTCTTTTCTTCTTCAACGTTTAGGGCTGTATTTGAAATAAGTAGGCGTAGGAGTGCGCCTAAGCTCTAAGCTAAAAAAATTCATAGATAAAATAAAATTAGTTAGAGTCAAATGTAAAACGTTCACATTTTCGGTATAGAGAAGGAGTTAGCATTTAGAGTAATCAAGAAATGTCCTTAGCTAGATATGTATGTATATCTTATGCATAACGATAAACGTCGAAAAATAAAAATGAATATACTGAAGCATCGATAAATAGTAGAATATAAAAGTGGTACATTTATCAACAAAAATACAGGCATTTATTTTTATACATATTTATGAGAAAAATTCGATCACTAGAAAAATGTCTGCTAAATATCAATACCAATAAATTTTCTAACGTGGGTGATATCGATGTACATAAGTATCGAAAAAAAGTTAAATATACTGATTGCTTGTAAATTAATCGCCAAAAAATATTTAAAAAACTCATTACGGAACACATATATCGGTAACTCTATGGATGCATATATCATAAATCAAAGCGAAATATATCGATGAAAAGAATAAAGTTGGATCAGGAAGAAAATTTAAGAAATTATGTGCGTGTATTATGTAATTGTGGAATTTATCGGAAATGATATTATTCCAAAATATTGACATAGACATAAAAAAATCGATAATTAAATAAGTGCATACATATGTATATCGGCATTGGAATCGATGAATTTAAAAAAATAACATCAACAAAAATATATCGTTGTGTAATAAACAAATGAAATGGTATTGAAATTTCCAAAAAAAAAAACTTTTCGATGGGAACCCTAAAATACAGTCATGTGAAACCTAATAGGTACAAGACTTTTGTCACAGTTTCGACTATTATTCTTTTGTTTGTTTAATGTTTATTATTTTTTATTATAAAAATACGGCTCACTATCTGTAGAAAAATTAAAATAATTAAACAAAATTGTAGAAAAATTAAAATAATTAAACAAAATTTTATAACAGCAACAAAATTTTTATTAAAAAATCTAATTCTTACAAAAAAAAGCTAGGTATGTAGTTTTGTAGCCCATTAAATTCTAGCTTGAGAAAGTGCAATTTTTTTGCGTATTGTGTTATTATTTTCTTCCATTAACAAAAAAAAATGTCGAACAGAATTGGAACGTATGTAGGAAAATGCGTGACACCGTCAGGAAAGAAATTATCAAAAATCAATGCGATTTCGTAGCCACTTGAAAATTGCACCTTCTTCTGCTAGAATTGAATGAACTGAAAACTGCTTACTTAGATTTTTTCGAAAAATTCTTAATTTCTACGTGCTTCTAAAGAAATTTTTTAGATAAAATTGTTTACTACTTCAAGCATTTTAAAATAAGTACAAGTCAACCTCAATGGAAGAAGAGCAATCACAATTCTTAATTAAAGCGCAACGAATAGCAGCATATATGTATACCTACGAATACAAATGCACACACATACTCATTTAAATAAAATTTCAAATAAAATTCAACATTTGCACACTTCACACTTGATTTGTTGTAGTGCAAAAGATGTTTGCTTGCAATCATAGATTCATAATAATTTATGAGCATAGCATCGAAAGTGGCAACGGCAGCAGCAGCAACAACTAGCTCAGGGCAGCAGATAAAACAGGATTAGATGGGAATGGTAAGCTGAGTGGCATAAAATTGAGCTGACACACCAGTGGCAAAGTGCAGAGGACTCGGTGCAGATGTAGTAAATCTGAGAAACATTAAATGGGACAGAATATTTAAGTACATATCTATGAAAGGTGCTGCGGGGTGTGGCAGGTAGATAGACTGCAAAGTAGTAACCAATCTGGCTTGCCACTTTTTTTTTGACAGAATTGCAATTTGCAATGGGTGTGGACGATGGTTGTTAGGTATATTGGCATAGATATATGTATGTACGTGCATATCTAAGCATACATACTTACACATATTTATTGAATCAGCTTAACGAACTGCATGGCAGTTTCAGATGGAATATTGTGCGTTCATATCGTATGTACATATAAAAATTTCTATCTAGGTATGTACTTGTATGTACTCGTACTTGCCAGCAATGCGTATTTTATTGCTCAATGTTTGTTGCACACGCATGTCTGGCTCTGCCTTTTTCGCATTTTATTGTTGCTGGTGCTGCGTTTTTTTTTTTTATTTATACAGTGGCTTAATTGCCAATCAGTGTTGGCAATATTTGATTTGTGGCCACTGCGACCATCAAGGGTCGACCACGATTTGGAGGCGGTGAACAAATAGTTATCTGAGTTCTTATTTATGTATGCAATAATATTTAATTACATATGTACATTTACACATTTCAGTTCCTCATTTCGATAGCACTCGGAATGGCAGTGAGTACAATGGGCCTAAAGTACAAAAACTAATAAATTTGCCCTTCCTCAATATTTCAGGCCATTTACTTAAATTTATTTGAATAAATCGATTAAAAATCGTTCAAAATGTTAAGAAAAGGCAATTGCTTAGTTTTTATTTTTAAGGCCCAATATGTGCGTAGAAGCAGTAGGTAGTAAAGTCTGAGTTGTTACCGATATTATTAATCTGTGCAAGAATTTATCGGCATCGCTGGCATTTTAGATATCGAAATTGATATGTTGTAATATTTATCGATAAAATTATTTTCTTTTTAATTTTTTTTCAATACTTTTAAGCAAATAAAAAGTATTTGCCGATACTTCTATAATTTATTTTTGATGACTCTATCGATATATTTATAATTATCGATTTTTTACCACGAATGATATGATTATGTACGTATGGGTCGAACACATCATAGGGCCTGAGTTTTTATCACCATTATGGAACCCATATGTATAAATATTTGTATCGATAGTATATTCATAATATGTAGACGTTGTTATATTTTTCGAATGTTTATCGATAAATTTATCAATTGTGTTTTCATGTGGTTGTTGATAGATTGATAGATGCATATATGGCATTTTCAAGTGTGCTGATGTAGCGTTTTTAAATACGTATCGGTAAATTTATCGTTTTTTTTTTTATTTACTGTCTTTGACGATATACCTATGAGAGTAATAAATTTAACATATCTCAATTAGCTTCTTCGTTAACTTTATCTTTATATAATTATCGATTTTTGTACAACAAGGGGAGAACGTCTTTCTAAATATTTATCCGATAGTTTTATCGTTTGTTATTTACGGTACTTGTAAATGTATGTATTACTAGGTTTACATATAAGTAGATTATCCTAGTTTTCGAGATTAACTTCTTAATCTGTAATTAGAAAAAGAGATTACTAAACCGATAACTTTTCGGTGCCCAACCTAGTTATATCGATTATTTTTGCCAAATGAAAAAGTAAACAAAAATGGACGCGATCAAGGAAAAGAGGTTTTTAAAGGTATTTTTAAACAAATGTTAAGTTAAAATGTATTCAAAGTGCTTAGTACCGCAGAAAAAAGTGATCACAGTGGCACAGAGAAGGAACTTAACTTGTCCTTGAGATGTGAGAATAACAAGCGTAACTAGTTTGACAGCTAATAATCTGAGATTTGCCAGTGTAAACGGCGTGATTAAAAATCGAGCTTTGATTGAGATTATATGTATATGTAAACATGTTTTAAAAGAATTATATGGTTTAATCGATATTGCGATCGATTTTTGTCGATATATAGTTATCGATTTTTTTTTACAAAATTTATACATACAAATACATACTTTTTATCGTTGCCTCTCATATAAGTATGAAACACATACATATGTATCGATATTTTTATCAATGGCCTCTTCGATATCGTTATTGATGCATTTTTCAACGTAGTGTTTTAAGGTACTGTAACTATACCGCCGTAGAAGGCTTTAATGTTAAAAACAGAGTTTATTTAATTTTAACTTTATATTTTAACCCCAAAAATATGCATAGGTAATACCAAAATGGTGCTCAACAGCTATATAACTAGAATCTGTAGACCGTTAACTGGAGTTCTGTGCATAGTTAACATGGTATCTCTTTCCCCACACAAACATAGACGATGGGTTGGACAAATTAATAAGAAGTAAGCCAAGACAATTCACATGTGCTATTGACATTGAAAGTCAGCTAGATTCATTTAAAGTTATTTCATTTTATCGTTTCTAATTCCATTTATATATACTAATTTAAGTAGTGTTTGTTTTTAATACTTTCTATTAATTCAATAGTAATTTAAGCTATTATACTCTGTAGTCAGTAGATATTTAGCTCAAGTATGTACATAAGTACTTACATACATATATTTTTTTCGATTAACCTTGCTTACCTTTTTCTTTTGAAGTGTCTCCAACAACAAGAACTACGTATTGTTCAAACGCAGAGCTTCATTTATTATCTGCAATTAAAAGAAAACAAGTAAGAAGAATTTAATTAAAATTAAATTTTACGAAATTGAGATAAGAATTTATTTGTTCTTCTTAGTTTGCAATGAAATATATTTAAGCCAACAACTGAAGGTAAAGAAGCTGAATTAAATAAGTAAATATGCTCAAAGAGACATACAAAAGCGATAGTTCAAAAGGAAATCAGCATATCGACTGCGTGTGTATGGAAGATCAACCCCTCTCGGCAGCCAGTTCGAAAACGCCCTATCTCAAACAACTTTTCAAGAACACCTTATTTCAGAATTTTATTGAAAACCACCCAATGGCGCAGAAATGAGATAAGATAGCTATACATAAGTATTTATAATATTGTATATACATCGAAAAAAATTTCTGAGCGTTATTTGTGTGAAGAATATTTTTAATCATTTCTTTTATCTATGTTATTGATTTTTTTGTGGCAATATCAAGCGGTCTATTGAGAGGTCGCAAAGAGGATTTCCAAGTAACAGGGCCCATACTTGAAGTGCAAAATGTTTATAGGAAATTCTCAGTGGACTCCATTTGTTCCTTGTCCTTGCAACTGCCACAGAAATCGTTAAACGAGGCTCCAATCCTATGGATATACTTATATACCCTGGCCTTCTCCTCGAGTTCTGCGAGCAGAAAAAAATCAGAGAGAGTTTTATGCTTGCACTCGATTCCTCTAATTTTGTATCAGACCCTTTAAAATTTCTTTCCCACAAAAAATTGTTTGCTGTTTGAATAATTTTTTATACTTTGGTAGTTATTTTCAGAATAAAGATTTTTCTTAAAAAAAATTCTAAAAACCACCTCTTCCTCTCCAAGAGTCCTTTTTATACCCGAGCGCACTTGTGCACAAGGGTATATTAATTTTGTTCACATAACGGTTGTTTGTAACAGCCGAAACGAATCGAGATAGATATAGACAAATGTATACATAAATGATCAGGATGAAAAAAGAAATCGATTAAGCCATGTCTGTCTGTCCGTCCGTCTGTCCGTCTGTCCGTCTGTCCGTCTGTCCGTGTACACGATAACTCGAGCAAAAATTGAGATATCTCAACGAATGGAATGGAATTTGGTATGTAGGTTTCCCTTAATCCAAGGTAGGTTGGTATTGAAAATGGGCGAAATCGGACTTTAACCACGCCCACTTCCCATATAACGGTAATTTCCAGAAATACGAAAACTGCGATATTTTAGTAACTATTGAAGATAATTCACTCAAAATTGATATTTACAATAACTTTCAGACGAAAAATAAGAATATTATAAATTTTTGGAAAATGGGCGTAGCCACGCCCACTTATGGTTACATGTGTTTATCTTGGTAACCGCTGCACCAATTTCATCCAAACTTGGCACAGTTGTTGGCCTTCGCACAACATACCAAACGGCCGAAAATTTCTAAAATCGCTCAATAACCACGCCTACTTCCCATATAACGGTAATTTTCAGAAAAACGAAAACTGCGATATTTTAGTAACTATAGGAGCTTATTCACTCAAAATTGATATTTACAATAACTTTTAGACGAAAAATAAGAATATTATAAATTTTTGGAAAATGGGCGTAGCCACGCCCACTTATGGTTACATGTGTTTATCTTGGTAACCGCTGCACCAATTTCTTCCAAACTTGGCACAGTTGTTGGCCTTGGTACAGGATAAAAAATCGCCGAAACTTTTTAAAATCGGACAATAACCACGCCCACATCCCATATAACGGTAATTCAGAGAAATACAAAATCTTCGATAAATCAGTAAATATTGAAGCTAATTTATTCAAAATTGATGCTTGCAACAATTCTTTACCAAGAAATACGTTTATCGTAAAATTTTGGAAAATGGGCGTGGCACCGCCCACTTATGATCATATATAAGTATATCGGTAACCGTTCTACCAATTTGTACCAAACTCGGTGTGGTTATTGTGCTTGCCACATATAAGCAAAACGTTGAAAATTATTGAAATAGGGCTAAAATAACGGCCGCTTCTCATATAACGGTAAATTTCAGAAATGCTTGAAACTTCAATATTTCGAAACTGAAGGACGCTAATTTGCTCAAAATTTTTACCATCTAGCGGAAGGTTTCGGAAAGGTAAAAAAACATATATTTAATACTTGCGCCGGGTATTTAATGTTCGGCTCCGCCCGAACTTAGACTTTCTTACTTGTTTTATTTTTATTATTTTTTTATGACGAATATTTTTTTCGTCGAGTGTATTTTTTTAAAGTTGTTTTCTAAAAATGAGATTTTTCCTACTATTTTTTATTTGGTTTGATATTCCTAGTTTTGGTAAAAATATTTGCTAACATTTTTTTCTGTTTGGATATTTTTTCTGCTTTTGGTACTTATTTTCAGAAAAATTTTTTGCTAAATCATTAGCAACTCCTTTTTCTCTATTTTTTTGAATTTTTTCTAAAGAATATTTTTAATAATTGATTTTTTTTTTTTGTTTATCTAAACAGACAGTTTTTCTAACAACTTATTTTTTCTGCAAATATTTTATTTACAGTAGCTGATTTTTTTCTAAATGTTTTTATTTACATTTAAATTTATTTTACATATTTTGAATTTTCTTATTTTTTTCAATATTCATTTCTAAAATTGTATGTTAAAAATTACCAACACTGGTTCACTCAATTGCTTTCTAGAAGTCAGACTGATCTTATATTTTCTCACGAGGGAGAACTCTAGCACAAGGGCATCGTTTGGACTCAATAGCAAAGGATATTGCTTGCACAGTTTTTCAAATAAGTAGTTACCGAAAATCTGTCCCCTCGGCTTAATTATTTCCTCTCGAGTTTTTAGAACTGTAGAATAATTAAATTAAAATTTATCAACCAGATGCTGCGGATCAAGCGATCTTAAAAAAGTGCATTCAAAGCTCATCAAGAACCAAAATTTCAAAAATAAGTCAGTTGTTTCTAAAAGTTTGTTTTAACTACTTGGAATTCTTAGAGTTATTATTTTTATTTTTTGTTATTTTTATTTTGATTTTTTTAAATATATAATTTTTTTTGAAGCCATTAACTACTTACCAAGTTTCGAAATTGAATTTTTAACTTCCGAAGATCTAACTCACCCCCAAATCAATTTCATCTTTCATGATTTTAAATCGAGAAAAAAAAATGTTTTTAATTATATTTCTTGATTGATTTATGGCCACCTTTGGATCATGCTTCGGATTTATTGGTGGACTGCCTACATTTTCTAACACTCATTATTCTTCCTCTTCTTCTGTACTCAACGCCAGCAAATCCATTAGTTAAGAAATTTAAGTTTGCTTCGTGAGTTCGAGTTAAATTAACAAAATTTAATTTTCTACTTTTATTGTGTTTTAATAAACGTGCCGACATAAACATTAGCAAACGATTAACAAATAATTATTAAACTTTAACTAAGCTTTGTCTGCTCAAGGCAGTTGCTTTGACGTCTGAGCAACAAATAAAGGTAAATAATAAATGAAAATAACAAAAATGGTTTTATGTGTTTAGATATGAATAATTTAATACATACGTATGTAAGTACCTACATAAATGCTAATAAACATTGTATTTGCTTGGCTGCTGTGAAGCATAAATAATTAAAAAATATGATAAATAAATACCTAAAAGGCTTAAAGTTCTGCTACATAACGCTTGTTGGTTTATTAAAAAATCTGTGTAAATACAGCTGCGGTTAACAAAATATTTAATATCAGTCTTTTTGCAAAATAAGTACTTAATTGAATTTTTGTATTTGAAATGCCTGTTTCTTGACAATATTTAATCTTCTTAACTGCCAAGGATTTGAGGCTTTAACTATTCAATGGGCGGTTACGAACATTTTCTTTTGGTGTTTAGTTTTTATCACAAAGAGAAATTGATGATGAGCGCAAATTTGACGAAATTCGTTTATTTGTGCCTATTTATTGGAAAAATTTAAAAATGTTTCAAATAAAAAAATTAAATTAAAACTTAAAAAAAACTAATGAATTTTTTTAATTTTTCGGCCGAATTTTTGAGAAAATTTAAAGTTTTCGAAACAAACAAACAAAATTAAAAAGGAAATCTGAAGATGACAACTTTAAAAGAAAAACCCAAAAATTAAATGTATTTTTTTTTAACAGAAACAAGAGGCATTTTGCCATTTAAAATTACTGCAACTGTACATATACATACATACTGACTTAAAAGTATATGTAGTGTTTTTTTTTTATTGCGAGGTTACTCCCTTATTCTCTTTAAAAGTTTAGGTAGAATTAATTGGCCATCAAAATAGCTTATTTTTTTAATAAACTTTTTTATCAGTTTTCTATATTTTTTAAAATAATTTTTAAAGTTACTTACGCTAAAATTTCCCTGTTTGATTTCTGAGTCCGAGATTGTTTCAAATACACTGCTGGCAGAGCGAATTTTTCACAATATATGCACCAATTTCTATTCTAATATTTTTCCGCTAATTTTTTATAAAAATATGATTCATTCTACAACAAAAAACATAAAAATATAATTTCTAAACTTTGTGTAAAACTCGCGAAAATTTAATAAATTTTCATGTAAATTTTCAACTTTTTAATCCGATTTTATGGAATTTTCTTGAGTATGCAGTTTTGTAGCCCATTAAATGCAAGTTCGGAGTTAGTCAAAAATCGCATTGCTGAGTTTATTTGTTGAAGGTGGTTTGCACTTTTTAATAAAAAAAATTGTGTGTATGAAAAAGACTATATGAAAAAAATTGTCAAAAATCAACGGTAATTCCTAGCTACTTAAAACTTGTACTTTAATAAAATTGATTGGGCTACAAATCTGCTTACTCAAAAAATCTTAACAAAAAGTTGAAAATTTGCGTGAAAATTTGCTGAATTTTCGCGAGTTTTTCACAAAGTTTAGAAATTGTATTTTTACGATTTTTGTTGTAGACTGAACCATATTTTTATAAAAAATTTGCGGAAAAATATTAAAATTGAAATTCGTGCATATATTTATTGTGAAAAATTT